TTCTTTAAAGAACCATCTCTTTCTTACCTTTTTGTAATCTGAAGAACCTTCTTTCACCACAAAGAACCTTTTGTGAAACAGAAAGGTTCTTCAGATGTTAAAGGTTCTTTATGGAACCATTTAGACAAAAAGGTTCTTCTATGGCATTGTGAAGCACCTTTATTTTTAAGAGTGTAGTCACATGTTTTGTTCAAAAGAAGTAATAAAAATATAAAATAATTTTTGAGGTAGGCTGCATATAAAATGGATCTGTTGCACTAGATATAATTGTGTTGTTATTTGAGGTTTGCATGTTCTACATGAATCAGAAACAGGTCATGCCTCGCTTATAAATGCGCATGTGTGTGTATTTGACAGAGCAGAGATGTGGGTAATGGTAATTTGTGTGTGTGTCTATAATGTGAGAGGGACTGTGTGATGATGTGTATGCACTGTTCCTGTAGGGAGGAGATTCTCTGGCTCCTCACACCCAGCTGAAGCTCAGTTTCAGGGGCCGTAGAGCTCCCCAGAGGATACAGAGCCTTGCTGACCTGAAAGGAACACAAAAGTTCCAGGAGCATTTTAAACCCCCACATATAACCTACATCCAGTACTTTCACATACTCAGTGCAGTGATATTTACCTGTTCCAGGCCAGTGAAGGCCACCCCAAGGTTCACTCCATTTCGGAAGAACGTCAGTGTTCCAGTGTTCAAGTCCAGCAAAACCCCAATGACTGTATTTCTTTCATAAAAAGGCTCTGTGTATTTTCGACTCCTTCCATTATGCCAGACGAAGCCTTTGTATGATAGACCCCAACTCTCACTGTCAATGCCTTTGATAAACAATAACAATAAAATAAACATAAAATGATTCAAAGAAAAGCACTGTGTGCTTTTGTATGGTCAACTTGTTCTGTACGCTTCCTCCCTTGTTAATCTAGGTGGTGTTGATAATTAAAATTCCTGTTTGATAATTAGATGATGCCATTCATTTTTAGGTTGTCAAGTAAGATCAACCTGAGGGAGTTTAGGTCTGTGCTGAGCGGAGCTGGGCTGGGCTGATTTGGTAGAAGAATAAGAGCATTCCTAAGAGGAACATGACTGTACTCACCTATGAGGTTAACAAACTTTTGATCCCCTGTGTGCAGAAGTGCATTTTGGGTACCAACCCCCACCATCACAGAGCTTCCATATGGAGGCTCTAGGAACTCGATCTCCCAGTAATGCTCACCGTGAGTGAAACCTTACACAGAAATATGTGTTATTCTGTAGTAATGAATCAATTATTATTAGAAAATTATACCACAACACATGATAGTTATCCTACAAAGCAATACTCTACTAGAGCATAATTAAAGCCTTACTAGCATTATAATAGCTAGTTAAAAATGAACTTGAACCAGGTGTGTTGCAAAGGAAACTAGCACTTAATGTTCAACTTATCACTGAACGTTTACACTGCTAAAGCAGTATCAGCTTGATTAAATGTAAGATTGTACTTTAATAATAAAACTAGCTGACTTAATGTGAACAACAAAAACAGCGTTTATCCCTCACTAGTCTCACCTTTGGTGCCTCTGACCCCTGCAGTGCCCTGACTGTCCAACAGAGGGCCGACATGAAAATATACAGCTTGTCGGCATAGAGACAGATGAGCATCAGGAGACTTACTGTCCGGATCCCATTCCCAACTCTCCCAAGTGTGACCTCTAAAAGAGCGCAACATTTGCTCTCTACAACACACAGCATATATACATATTAATGGCTGTACAGTTACTTTGACTTTACTTTACTTTTAGTTATTTAGCAGACGCTTTTATCCAAAGCGACTTTCAAATAAGAAAAAGTAATTAAAACTAAAAGCTAAAACAATATAAATACTATATATACACACATTTAAGAAAATAAAAGAAATTAAATAAAAATGACAAATGCGTACAACATTTCAAAACTAAACATTTAAATGAAAACAAAAAAATAAAGCTAAAAACAAGTATGAGTATAATAATGATTCTAACATAACACTAAGCCAAACACCAAAAAACAACTACATATGTGTGTATGTACAACCACACACATATACATATACATGTACATATATATATATATATAAATACATTCAATATATATATATAATTTCATTTCCATTTTGTATGTTGAAGTACTGAAATAACTCAAATTAAATAAAACGAAAACTTAATTTAAAAAAAAACTATAGACATAATAAAAAACTAATAAAATTATTATATTACAGTAAAAAAAAAAAAAAAAAGCTATCCAATCAATGTCCCCATTACCAAAAGCAACGGGGGTTTTTGCTATCATTCGAATATTTTTAAGTTAAATATACATGTTATTACATACAGACGACGAGTGTACCATGCGGAGATGTCGAGACTATTTTTTGATTTCAAAACGCGGAGACCATTCAGCCGCACACATCTTCCACAGAGAAAACATACCTGACTTACCAACCGTGCGCTACATTGTGTAATCCGACATGTAATGAAGAAGCAACTAAAACTTTCTTTTGGGCACTTGAAACCCGCTTTTAAAAAGAAATATAGACTGCACAGTAAAGTTTACATAGGCGTTCCGACAGCTGGACGACAGAAAAACATTTCACAACTGCTGTCAAAACAACTGTTTTCATCCTAATTTGGAAGTAGGCGTGCATTTGTGCTACGGCGCTCATGAATTTTAAAATAGCCGCTGCTGCCGTTGCTTGGTAGCCGTTTAGTAACGCACCCTAATTAATATTCATAAGCCAAGCATTCGCCATTCCATTGGGCGAACGACGAGCTAACAAATATTCATTAGCTAGCGGAACTCCAAGGTTTGCGTAAAGGAGACGCAATGTTTTTTGACCAGCTCAGCATATAGAGGAAACAAAAACAGGCCTGTCTGAAATAAATCAGTTTATTACCCAACATTTACATGCCATATTAACAAAGTGAGGAGAGAAAGAAGACACTTAAAATAATAAAAGAAGGTCCAGCTCCTAATGACTTGCCAAACATAAGCTTTAAAAGAAAAGAAAAGGGGAAAAAGCATTCATCACCATTTAAAGACCTGACGAGTAGTAATGATAAACTGTCCCTAAATTAAAAATAAAAAATTACAAGTATGAAAAGTTATGGTAAAATGCATTTACAAGAACCAGGTAAGCAGATGCAGACGCACAATTCACTGTTGTCAATATTCCCTGTAGTGTCGTTCATGTTTAAGCCTGGACATACTCTCAGATTATTCAAGTTTTCGCCTCACTTTAAAGTTGAAGAGAATTTGTATGGTGTCAGCAGTACAATGACAGAAATCTGCTTCAGTGATTAGTCAGTGAACTACATGTGTTGTCGTGATGAGCAAAACAAAAATAAAGGCTGGTACAGGTTTATACATTCATTACAGTGAGCTTTACTTACACAGTTCTGCTATTTTAATAAATACAAGGGTTGGAAATTTTATGTTGCTCAGTTCCTTTAACAGATGCTGTTCTCCTTATTCCTCAGTTCACTTTTTTCTTGAATGATGATTCTCTTCATAGCTCATTGCACAAGGAAAAACTGACACAAAACAGGGTTAATGAAGACATCCAATGAGGGATGCTTCAGTTAAG